CACCCCCACCACCCGCCGCCCAAAAACCTGCCACGCATGACTTTGTCGCCGTTCAAATTAATCCGGCCAACTAAGACCACAGGCGTCACCCACGAGTTTTGGTACCGCAGCTTGTAGTAGAAGTACTGGCAGATCTTTTCCAGGATGGGCGTAGATATTTCTGGGAAGTTGATTGTCCCGAGCTCAGTCTCGGTGAAGGACCCTGGAGTGCGTTGGGGGGGTGCAAAGGCGACGCGCGCTTCAATGAACGCCAGGAGGACGAAGCGCCGGGGCGGCAGCTGGGGCTGGGGCTTGGGCAGCGCGGGCGGCTGGCCGGCCGCCTGCAATAACAGCGGCGCGGCCCCACCCCAGCGCCCCGCCGGCCGTCACGCCGCGGCGTGAGCAGCGGGCAGCCCTTTGGAATCTGTGATGGCGGCGGAGCGCCCCCCGGGTGGCCCCCCGGCTCGCCAACGCTGGGGTGCGCCGCTCCGCCCGCCGCCGGTGCTCGCCTTGGGAGCTGAGCATGTTGCGTATTGTGTTGGAGACGCAGGCGGCTTTGTAGTCTATGATGAACTCGAAGCCCTCCGCGCTGACCAGCTTGACGGTGTCGCGCTGTGGCGACGCCATGGCTGCCGCCGCTGCCGCTGCGGTCGCCGCCTCCGCCGCCGCTGCTGTTGCTACCGCCGCTGCTGCTGCTCCTGCTGGTGAGCGGCTGAGCGGCTGAAAAGAGGTACGTGCTGCCGGCGACTGGCGCCCGCCACGCAACGCGCTGCTGGCCTGTCGGACGCCTTGGAAGAGCCAGTGGCAGGGCTGCGGTTTGGCCTGCAGGGACGGCGGCGCCGGCGCGGTGATGCAGCGCGCGCGCAGAAACAAGGGGTGCAGTGGCACGAGTGAAGCAAAGCGCACTGAACTTGTTCGCAGACCACGGCCTGCGCGATCAGGTCGACCTTGTCGCTTTGTATTACTACTTTCTGCCACCTTTCCATACCTGTGTTGTCGGTACGCTGATGCCACGTTAGATCGAGGGTCAAGCGCGCGTGGTTCGCACTTATGATATAAGAAATGAGAGGTGTTATGTTACGACAGAGACCAGGACGCTCCGAGGCTGAGCGCAAGACGAGGGCACAGGGTCGGTACTACTGTGTGCCGGCAATGTGTGAGGCATGTCCGCCGCCCCCGATCTGCGACAGGGCACGTTGATCGGTGGGCCAGGCCACCTTCAAGTCAAGGCACCGTCTGCACAGGTGTTGTTTTGAAAACCACCAACCATCATCAAAGTCGTGGGAGAATTGGCCTAGAATGGCCGGACCTGGGGCTCCACAGCCGCCGTACCAAGGGCAGGACTCCTGCCGGCCGGCCGGTCGGACCGGCCGCGCAGCACATTACATTGGCAGGTCAAGCCTCGCAACATTGACACCCGGCCAGTGGCAACATCAAAATCCAGGGTATTGCGCAAGAAACTCATGAAGAAGTACGATGGCTAGGTTCTGGGAGCAACGGTATGCGAGGGCGCGTCACCTCTTTGATTGGTTTCAACTAGGTTTGCCGCGTGCACAGTGCAATTGACGATATAAATGTGTCAGAAAGTGAGCAGCGTGAGCACCATCTGGCAGGCAGCTGGGACCATGACAGCTGCTCTTCACCTCAGCCTCTTTTGGGGTGGCAGCTGCCACCTCCCAATTTCCTCGGCAACGCGTGCGGTTTGCACCAGTTTCGAGGGGGGTTTATGTGTGGGCCAGGGCGCTCTGGTTGCATTTGAGTGCCGTCGCAAAGCCGCGACGAGCTATGTTTCTCCTTCGTCACCACTGGTGGCCTCAGCTCCTGGCTAGTCAGCTGTCGCAGCAGCCTCCCCTCCACTGGTGCGCACCGCCTTTGACCTCTCATGATGATGCTGGCACGAGTTCGGGCGCCTGGTGTCATGGCACAGCCTCGGGCGCCTGGTTTTATGGCACGGCGCCCAGACATCCACGTGCAGCAGCACGCTGAAGTCTACGTTCTTTGTTGCTGAAGGGCATAGACCGGAGGAACACCTCAATTACCTTGGAGTTGTAGTCGCTCGGCTGTCACCGTCTTGTGGGGAAGTGGCAAGTGTGCGGCAAGCAGCAGAGTGATCAAAGCAAGTGGGGGTACCGTATCCCTGCCCATACCCTTTCCACCGGGACTCGTAATACAATTTACCTGAGCGCAACGGCGAGTCGATCAGAGCGGCGGGAGGGGCTTGACTGTTATGCGTATTGCGCGCCGAATCGAGACGGGTGCATCGTCGTCCTGGGGGCTGGTGTCACCTCACGGCGGCGGGTGACGCCGGGTTACGCGCTTCTGGCGGGGCAAGAGGTGACAGTTCGGCGACTGCAGCCTGGCGGGGGGCTGGATTGTTGAGAGGTTGGCGTGTTGATTGCCAGGTCTCATACGCATGGTTGTGCTGATGTTGAACCTGGTTTGGCTTGACGTGACAAGTTTCACAGCTGCCATTGATTGCTGTGCCTGCCAGTCACACGTTCCTCATAGCACACCAGGTCACCCGCGGCAAAACCCTGTGATGCGTCTGTCACCCAGCTGACTGGTAAGGGCCACCCCTAGGCATCAGCGCAAGCCCATGAAACTGTAAGGTGCTCTGCCCAGCCCCACCCTCCGCAGCAGGGACTATAATTATTGACGCGTTACCGTGGTTGCTGATGAAATGGGACTGCACAGGCCCCCAGAAATGTTGAAGTCGAAGTTGCAAGTTTTTTCACGAGAAGGTTGGGTGGGCTAAGTCAGGAAGCGAGAGAATCCTGCGCAAACACTCGGTTGAGTCATGACTGAGCAGCATGCTCCTGAAGGGCTGCGAAAATCGGATGACGCGCTACACAAGAAGGCAGCGAAAATCGCAGGAATGACACGCAGCGAGCCGTGTACGTGGCTGCGCATGCGCAAGCCGGACTTCAACACCAACACAGAACAGGGGGAGGACGTTTGCCTGCCGCGCCACCCGCAAAATCTGCTCCCCATCAGGCTACCATGCCAATGGTCCAAAGGGTCGTGCTTGCCTGCCCTCAAGACCCAAAAAGTCACATCATCCCAAAGTGCTTGGTCAGAGATAATGACTGAGAATATGGGCAAGTCGTACAGAGCAGATGTGTGCCCAAGCAGTGCAGGGGCGGCGAGTGCAGAGCTCGAGGTGAACGCGCCAAAGTCGAGTGGGGGCTGACCGCGCTCAGCAGCGGCCCGGCCCCCACTCCTTGCTGGGGCTGCCCCCGAGCTTCAGTGCAACCCATCCAAGGGGCGGTCCACACGATGCTTTCCTGAAAATGGCAACCAGTGCTTGGAACCGTCGATGGAGCAAGCAAGCGCCCCGGAGGTTTTGGGGCTGCACATGCAAAGCCCGAGGTAAAAGCGCCCAAGTGGACTGGGGGCGGACCGCGCTCGGCAGCGGCCCCACCCTGACTCCTTGGTGCGCGCGGCTGCCCCCCGGGCTCCACTGCAAACGGTTTAAGGGGCGGCAGACTTGCCAGCCCACAAAATGCAACGATCCAAGGGGCGGCAGGGCTGCCTGCCCGCAACGCAAAGTGCATCGTCAGGGATCGGCCCAAGTGCTTCAACCCTGAAAAGAAAACAAGGTTGGAGGGGAGAAAAGGAAGGGAGAGTGCACCCAAACAGCACTGAAGCGTCACGCAAGGAGGCCAGGACCGTGGGGCGCCGCAGAAGAGGGCGGGGCAGCGGCCGCATTGCTGCGGGCGGCGTGCAACCTGCAATCAGACCGGTGTTTCTCGAGAAACAAACACCAGTACTGAGCACCAATGACGAAGGTATATGCGACCCCAATTGTTTGTCACGTGACTATGTTGATTTGGGTTTGGCAGATGCAGCATCTTTATTTGGGTTCGGGAAGTTCTGTAGTCGGGGCGAGCCTCCAAAAAAAGGGAAGCGGTGTCATCAGTACGCTGCAGGGGCGCGCATGCACAACAGGCCCTTGAGGGCCGCCGTCGCCTTGCCAGCCTCCTTGCGCAGCTTGTGGGCCGCGCCATGCACGCGCTCCGCGGGCGTGCGCACGTCGCGGCCGCCGCGGACGGCGCAGGGGCGCTTGACGCCGCCGCTCGTGAAGAAAAACTCCTTGCCACGGGCGCCGTTGCTGGTGCTGGTCAGTGTGACCACAGCGATCACGGCCGCAGCGTCCGCCTCGCGGCCGGAGGCGGCGTCGGGCGCGGCGCATGCGTCGCCGTGCGCGCTGCTGCAGCTCACATCGTCAGTGCTGCAGGTCGCAGCCGCGCGTGCGACAGCGCAGGGCTTCATGGCGCCCGCCGTGGGGGCGGCGATGCCGGCGCCCGAGCAGCTGCCACCGCCGTGCTCGGCGGCAAAGAAGGCAGCCACGCCGGCGCACCGCAGCTTGCCGGGACCGCTGGGGCTGACGCTGCGGCTGCTGGCGCGGCTGGGGGCGCGCGGCTCCCCGCAGCCGTCCACGACAACCTTGATGGGAACTTCGGCCCTGGCAGCGAAGTCCGACACGCCGCACCCTGAGGCTGCGTGGCTCGCCGCCTCAAGCTGAACCTGCTGCTGCTCCTTCGCCTGCTCCGCCCCAGCATCAGGCACGCCGTCCAGGCTGAGCCGCGGCGACGCCGCCCGCGAGGCCAGGAGCTCGGCACTGAGGGCGTGCTCGACGCTGCCATCGTCCCCACTGCAGACGCTGCTGGCGCAGCTGGTGCCGCCGCACTCACCGCCGCCCCGGCTGCCCTCTCCCGCCAAAGCCGCCGCGGCGACGACCGCCGCCCTGCTGGCGCCCTCGAGCTCGGCGAGCCTCGCCTGCAGCGCCGCAACCTGCGCCTGGAAGGCCGCTTGCTCGTCGGCCAGCGCGGCCCTGAGCGCCGCAGCCGCCTCGTCCTTGCGCTGGGCCTGTGATTCGAGCGCCGCCACGCGCCCCTGGAGCGCCCCCTCGCGCTGCGCCGCCTCGTCGCGCGCGGCGGATGCGGCGGCGCGCAGCGCCGCCGACTCCGCGGCGTGCGCCGACGCCGCGGCAGCCGCCGCCTCGTCCTTGCGCACCTCGCGCACGGCGCCGGCCCGCGCCGCGTCCTCGAGCGCCGCCACACGCCCGTGAAGCGCCCCCTCGCGCCGCGCCGCGGCCTCGCGCTCGGCGCCCGCGGCCGCGCACAGCGCCGCCACCTCTGCGGCGTGCGCCGCCGCCGCCGCCGCTGCGGCCGCGCGCGCCTCGTCCCCGCGCGCGCGCCGGCGCTCCGCCAGGTCCGCCAGCAGCGGCACGGCCTCGCCGACGGCCGGCACCCAGTCCAGGCAGTCCGTGATGCCCAGGCTCTCGCCGTACTCACCGAAGCAGAGCTCCAGCGGGCTGGGCCGCGCGGCCGGGTGGGGGTCGAGGGCGGAGTCCAGGAACGCCAGCTTGGCAGGCCGCAGCGCCAGGATGTCAGGAAGGTCCCTGTGCGCGCGCGGCGCGTCTCTGATGCGCCGCGCCATCGCGGCGTCGTGCGCGTCGCCGTCGCCGCGCGCCAGGGCCGCCGCCGCCTCGGCCGTCTCCCAGGGGTGGCGGCCTGCCTGCACCACGGCCACCGAGGCGGCCAGCGCCCACGCGTCATACTCGGGGCCCACCAGATCGCCCAGGTATGACGGCGCGCCGCGGTCGTAGACAAACTTGAGGATCTCCCCGGCGGCTTCGGGCGGCGCGTAGCGCGGCGTGAACGCCAGCACCGCGCCGCAGCCCAGCGCGGTCACGCCGCCAAAGTCACACAGGCGGGGCGCCAGGGTGCCGTCCAGGCACCGGTTGATAAGCAATTGCTCGGGCTTCAAGTCGTTGTATGAGAAACCCTGCGGTGTGGACAGCGACGAGGGATGGTCTGAGCATGGAGCGATCTAGAGTTGTGCTGCATACTACGACGCCTGAGAATCATGCCTGGATTCGTGGCGGATTGCTGTACCGCAGGCTGGCTCAGCGTGCAACATCCCGCGTGTGCCAGGGGCAGAAGCTGCCTCCTGCTGTTGACGATGACTGATGGCACATGCTGCCTGCCGCGGCAGGCGTGGCACGTGCTGCATGCCGCGCAAGAGGGCAAACGCAAAGCTGCTGCCAATGCTCGAGCGGCGGCACGGGCAGCACTTGTGGCGAGCCGTCGGGTTTTTCCTGCCGCCCGACGCCCGTAGTTTCGCACCTACCCCGTCCCTGCGTGCCCGGCCACCCGCGACAGCAGGCGTCCCTTGCTCGACCCCCTTCCCTGCCCCCATAATCACGCACCTTGGCATGCAGGCCGGCCAGCAGCGGCAGCAGCGTGCGCGCTATCTCGTCGGTGAGGGCGTCGCGCTCCTGCCAGGTCAGCCCCCCGATCATGGGCATCAGCGCCTCCCCGCCATACTCAAACACCAGGTGCACGTGGGTCTCGTCCTCGTGCACCGCCAGCAGGGCCGGCACGCCACCTGGGTAGAGCACCTCGGGGCCAAGCTCCTCCTGGCTCAGGATCTCAGACAGCACCTGCAAGGAAGGGGAAGAGGGGGCGGGTGTTTTGGGGGTGGCCGTTGAGGGTGGGAGGGGGTGTGTGAGAGGCCGGTATTGCGTTCACAAGGTCCCGGGTGAAATCAAGTGATGGGCCAAAGGTTGTTGTGGGGAGTTGGGTGTTTGATAGGTCACGTGGCCACAGCTGACGGTCCATACTCGGCCGTGCAACAAGGCCAGCAGCGGCGCAAGCTGTGTGGCTGCCAGCGAGGGCTGCGCTTGCCCGCCTGCCCTGGCGCTGCATGGCGCTGCCCGCCGCGCTGCCAAGGCGACCCCACCGGCCGCTGCCTCCTCCCTGCCCCCTGTGCGCACTCCGTATGGCGCATAATGACCCCCGACGCTCCCAGCCGGCTGCGCCCGCAGAAGCCGGCCCCCGCAGCCTGCGCCCCTCACCTGGTCGACCAGCGCGGGCTGCGCGATCAGGCGGTCCTTGCAAAGCGCCTTGACAACCGCTGGCCTGCCGTCGGGCAAGCGCACCAGCCCCACCAGGCTGGAGCCTTCCTGGTAGACGGACCGCATGGCGCGGAGCTGGGACCTGCAAAGGGGGGCAGCGGAGGTGGAGCACACGCGTGCCATGGGCGGGAGGCACCTGGCCGCCAGGTTAGACTGCGAGCTGCTGATGGTACTGCCATACACCATGGCGTCAACAGCTTGGCGGGTGGCTCACCCTGGCAGGCTCGCCAGCACAGGGTCGCCACGCGAGAACAGCTGCGGAAAATTCGGGAGAGCCATGGCCGCAGTTTTATACACAAAATCACAAAACATTGTATGGTTCGACAGCGTAAACAAGCCATGCCATGCAGGGAGCACCGCAAAACCTCTTTGGGACTGCTTGGAGTTCAGCTGCCGCCGGATGAGGCACCTACCAAGCGGCTGTGCGCCTGGCGGCTCCACATGAGCTGCGGTTTTTGTTGCATTGAGCAAAGGCGATCCCAAAATGTCACAGCCTCACGTGTCATACACCTGATCAATGCCTGACGGCTGGCCTCACTGCTAGTGAGATTCAGTTCTGCTGACAAGGACCGCCCGCACCGATCGCTTTCGGATGCGTCTTGATTTTATTGTGGCCTGCCATGCACCCCAGCACATCCTACAATCGAAAGGACCTTTTCACTGTAAAACTCACACGAGTCATGCGGAGTATGTTACAATGGAATGCTCCACCTGCATCAAAAGGGCAACGGAGGCCACCTCACAAGCTGCGCATCACACACGCATCCTGCCGCCTCGAGCACGCACATCACTGCCTGGCAGCAAACCAACCAGACAACTTCCTATCCAGACAAACTGCAGTCATTCAACAACCCAAATTTCAGGGTGCACAACTAGCCTACCCTCCTCGACCCTGCCGAGTAAGGCGCGCGACGACCATGCCCTCATCCCCGACCTGACCCTACCCTGGCGCCAGGCACGCCAGCGTGCAGCTGCAGCCGCTGCAGCGAACGCGCGCGAGGAGTGAGCAATCACTCAAGCCGCGCGCCAACACGCGGCGGCCCGGCCCTGCCGCCCCCAAACCCCTCGCCTGCCCCCTCGGCGCCACTGGTGACACCCCACTCCATACCCTTCAGCCACAAGGGTCGGGTCAGGCGATGTATAAATGCCCTTTTATATGCTCGTAATTTTGTTCACGCAGCTGTGTTGGTGCTTACAGTACGGTATTGTGGGGATCTTCGCTGGATACGGGCCTGAAGTCGGTGACCCCGGCCCACATCCAGCCTGTTCAGGTGATCAGGATCGTCCATAACTCACACGCATGACCTGATTCATTCTCACCGTAGGAAGTGCGGGGCACGCACTCAAGCACCCCGCGGCCAATGCGCGGTCATCTTTTCGCAGCCTGGGACGCGTGACAGTCGAACGACGGCTCGATACCTCAACCCAGTTCATCAGAAGCATGTCGCACGTCCCCTCGGGCCTCTGCGCGCCCCTGGTGGTGGTGCTGACGGTGGCTGCCGCAGTGAGGTGCGGCAACAGCCGCTGAGCTGCGAGCCGCGCTTTGCAGTCGTAGGATGTGTGTCGGTCTGTGAGGGCATGCCCATCCAATGTATTTTTTGCAGCATGCTGGCAGAAACAACCCAGGAGCAGCCCCACACCGTCCGGTCAACATCTCTGCAGCGCTCCTGGGGCCCAAAAAATGCCCTCCCTGAAAATGGAGCACTTTGCCCCGAACTTACCCGTCCCGCGACCTGTGCCTGTTACCACACTCTCCACTCCCCAGCGCTCAGGCGGCTAAAGCGCCGAAGCCAACAATCGGCCTGGTGAGTTGCTGCTGAGCTTGGGTGCGCTGCGAGGCACTCATACGTACAACCTCGTCAGCACTGCTGGCAAGCAAGGAACCTTAGCCAGTCCCTGCAGCCCGCCGATCCATCCGACTAGCAGGTGTAGGCCTCTGGCTAGGGAGACCCCCAACACCATCCGGTGCACCTCCGTGCGTCCCCTCCCTGCCGCTCGAACAGTGCACGCCAGTGCGGGCACTGCTGAAGTCCTGCGCCCTCAAGTCAGCACCAGCCGTGAACCAGTTCTGCAGTGAGCTGCTGGCATCCCCCAACGCCACAGCAGACAGCCAGGTGCGCAGGCACGCTATGGAGTGCGGCTGCAAAGTGAATACACGCGCACGCACGCACGCACACACGCACGCATGCACGCACGCACATGCGCGCAATCACACACACACACACACACACACACACACACACACACAATCACATAATCACATACACGCGCCTGTGCATTCTGTGCCTGCAATGGGGCGCATATGTCACGCCCGTGCGCCCGCGTGTCAGTGCTGGGGGGGGATGTGGCGTGCATGCACCAGCTACGCCGTGACAGCCGTGACCAGTCAGGGCGCCCAATGCCCAGGGGCGCTGGCTGGGCGCGACACATATGTGCAGGCTACCAAATGTCTGAGAGCATGCTTTGAGTGACGTGTCGTGCTCTGCGTGACTCATCTGCCAACCCTTGACCCGCACATCCGTCACCCATGCCCTCGCAGGATCCCTCCACCATTCACATCGGCTGTGGGCTGGCGACAGCCGCACAACTCAGCACCGGCCTGGCTGCCCTGGAGTCAAAGGTCAACGCGTCCATGAAGGGGCTACCAGTTGCCGCCCAGGTCAATTCGAGCGCCACAGATGCGGCCTTGCTCCAGCTGCAGGCGGCCTTGGCGGCACTGCAGGCGCGGCTGGATGCGTTGAAGCCTCAAGTGGCATCGGCGAACGCTACTTTGCAGCAGCTGGCTGCCGCCACCAACGCCGAGGTCGCATTATTGAAAGCAGCCGAAGAGCAGCTGGCAGCCAATGCTACTGCAGAAATTGCTGCCATCAAGAGCGGGCTGCAGCTGCTGGCAGCCAACACCACGGCCGAAATCACATCGCTGCAGGCTGGCCTGAAGGCCATCAACGTGAGCGACTTCGTCCGGGTCGGCACGCCCATCAACGCCGCCACCCTTGGCGGCGTGGCCCCGAACGGCTACGTGCGTGTTCCCACACAGGTGGTGCTGTTCGCCCTCCCAGACCGCAAAACTGGCAGCCTCGGGGGCCGCGCCGGCGCCGACGCGCTGTGCCAGTCCGCCACGAGCCGGCCCCCTGGCTACTTGAACGCGCGTGCGTTCCTATCCTTTTATGTCGTCGGCAGCGCGACCGGCGACGCCGTAAAGGACATGCCCACAAACTATGGCGTCCCCACCAACCTGCCAATCGTGTCCGCCAACAATATCTTGCTCGCCGCCAACTGGGCGGCCCTGCTGAGCGGCTCCCCGCTGAACACATCGTTTGTCGGCGCCGGCGTTGTGCCTTCGGCACCACCCAACTATCTTGAAACCTATTTCTGGTTCGGCACGTATGCCGACGGCCAAGTGGCTAGCAACCAGTGCGCGGGTTGGACGAGCGCCGCAGGCTCTGATTATGGCAGGACGGGTGTCACCTTGAGCGCGTCGCTTGGGGACGGCGTCGTTGCAAATTGTTATAACGCCTTGCATGTGTTCTGCTTGGCGTTCTGAAAAAGCGATGTGGTTCCGGCATGTTGGAGGTAGTGGCCACAGCGTGTGGTGTCGCAGGGAAGGCGCACACACTGACCTTATGTTTGCCCTGACTGCCTGCGGTCGACCAAGGTGATGCCGTGTTGGTGGACAGCCTGCACGTGCAGCAACGACCTGCCACAGTCTTGCCGCATCGGCGTTGCAGCGCGCTTGATTGGTAAGAGCTGTTGCGTGCTGTGCCTTGTGCGCATTCGACACCAACAACAAAGAGAGCTTGACATTGATGCAACATCACAGCACGTTCTTTGCCCGCGCACAAGCTGAGCCCTTTGCTGAGAGCAGACAGGCGGCCGTAACCATATTGTAAATTGCCCCCTGTGCCGGCCGCTGTGTGCGCCGGGCTTCCGGTCGGCTGCCGCAGGCGAGACGCTGCCGTGGTCGAGCGGCGATCCAAGGGACTACTCGATCAGCAGTGCAGCTGTGTTTAGGGTTTGTAAGGATCCCCAAATTGTGACACCCTCAGCACTAAACTAAATAGTCAGAATCCATGGTTGGTTGCCATTCATGATTACAATGCCACCTGCAGCGGCCAAGCATGGGCCACTCAACGCCGCCGCGGCCCGGCACAGCGCGAGGCGCGGCACTTGCGGGTGTCGCCCCGGATGCGGCGCGCCGGCGGCGAGAGTGTGTGGCCCTCGGCCCCCTCACAGGGCCACGAGCTCCGCCTGCCGCCCCCTGCCGCGCAGCTGCTGCCGCGCCGCCAGCAGCGCCATGGGGTCCGCGCCGCCGCCCTCCTCCGCCTGCGCCGCCAGCTTGGCGCCCAGCCGGTCTGCGCACCACCGCAGGCGCAGCAGCTGAACAGCGAGCAGCTGCGGCAGGCAGCCGGCGCCGGCGGCCCACTTCAGGGCGCCATAGTTGGCCTGGGGTTTCAAATAGTTCAAAGGGGTTCCGCAAAGCAGTCAGTGTGCAGGTCACGCACGTCACCGGGGTGCAATCAAGAGCATGTTTTGCGGAACGGCCGCCAGGCCGCGAGCCCGCCTCTCCAGGGTGCCAGCGAAAACGGAGGGCTTACGCCATGCAAGCCTGGTGCACCGCCCCCCCAGACTGCCTGCGTGCCATCCCCTCCCCACGAGGCCGCTACCCCGCTCCTCTGCTCCCACGCCCATTCGTCCACCTCAATGCGCCGGCCCCACCTGCTGACTTCAACCCTCCGCCTCTCCCAAGCCAGCGAGTCTCCCCCCACCTCCTGCGGAACCAACTCGCCGCTCCCCCCAAAACCCAGCCCACCTCTCTCTCCAGCCACAGCCTGTCATTAGGCAGCCGCAGAGCCTCTCCCGCCTTGCCGTCCGCCCCCACCGCCGATATCCTGTCGATCCGCCACCGCGGCGCCACCAGGGGGTACGCCCGAAACAGCCCCACGCTCGCCTTGACCTCCAGCGCCCCGGACGCGACGACGCAGCGGTACGTCGCCCGCGGCGGCGCGCCCGCGTCGGCCGCGCCGGCGTCCGCCGCCGCCGCCGCGGCCGCGTCAGCGGCGGCCTCGAGCTCGGCCAGGCTGACCTCTTCGAG